CTTCAAAAAAAAACCAAAGACACATTAATTAAAACCGTAGCACTCTTTCCTAAACAGTAAAGCGACGAATCAATTGGTGCCTCTTCCATTTTGCCAGCATTTTAGAGATATATCTAAACCAAAAAGCTATAAAGAGGAAGAAAATCATTTTTTTCTTGTACTGCAAAATTATGAAAAGGCTTGTTGACATGTATTACTATTACAGGTACTCCCAGGTAAAGTAATATATTAATGCATGACTGATTCTAACCGCCACTTTCAGTGAATGACATAAATCACACTTAACACATCTGAAAACATTTTTTTTTTAAAAGAACAAAATCCACACAAGTAATTTTCATTACTCTCATTAACTGGAAAAAAAAAAAAACTAACTCGTGGTCATTAAAATATATTAATAATTCCTCCATTCATTTACTGGCTTCTATTCAAACATCATGGAAGCTCTCACCAAATATGCAGGACCCATAACAAACAGAAAGGAGCAGGGATGTGCTGCATGTTGGAACGGCTAGTCTGGGATACACAAACTGAGAGCAGCCTAGTTACAAGAACACCTAATTGTCAAAATTCAATTTTGGTGCAACACAAGTGATACTGTATTAAGAAAGTAGATTTTTAAATGCAGAGGAACTCTCCATTTCTTGATCTTGCTGACAAAGAAATAAGCATCTGTTTTTAAGGGTAGTTCAATATTTAATCTACTCAAGTTGATAAGTGTACTGTAATTGTGTAAGAGGTGCTCCCTTTCAGGAAATAACACATCCAAGTATTTAGAGATAAAGGGCCATGATGCATGTAATTTACCCTCAAACGGTTAAAAAAAAAAAAAAAAGGTGTGTGTGTGTGTGTGTGTGTGTGTGTGTGTGTGTAGAATGAAGGAGGAGGAGGGAAGGGATACAAACACAGAACTAACAGGATGAAATGGTAATACTAAATCAACCTGGATAAAGGCATAATTTTTTGTAATACTTTTGTTTTTGGAACCTTTATACATGCATGAACTTATTTCCAAATAATTTTTTTTTAAAGATCATGAGACAGATAAATGAGAAAAAAAAAAAAACAGCAAAATGTTGATCATTCTTAAAGATGGATTATGGATAGATGGTCATTCTCCCAACCTCTCTACTTCTATCCATCTTTGAAATTTTCTACAATAAAATGTTAAAAAATAAAAATAAAGAGCATGTGAAATTATGTATGTAAGTTAGCTACTAAAGTGACTGGAAAACAGAAGACATTTAATAATGACAGATGTGTTATTATAAACTGAATTCACTCTATCTAGAGTGTAGATGAGTTACTAGCGTTTAGTATTTCTGTACGTGCAGCAAGTATTTACTGACAGGCCACAGATGTAAGGTGTTCTGCTGGAGACAGCAGTGAATGCGCTCACGTTAAGTCAAACACCAGCTCACACACTCAGGACTCAGGTTATGATGAGAAAGGACAGGAAAACAAAGGTTAAGAGTCAAAGGAACTGAGTTCAATTCCAAATCAACAACACCTCTTTCCTAGGTGATCTTAGAAAAATCTTAACTAGGAACATCTCTTCATCAACCATACTATAAAAAGGTAAAACCATGTATTTGAAAAGGTTGTTATGAGAATAAAGTGAGATACACGAAAAGTGCTCTATAAACTCTCAAGGGTTACTCACATCTTGGTTTTCGTTGTATCGTATATAGAGGCCAGGTATGGAGAATGAGGTCTGTACACAGTAGTCCATGGCACAAAGAAGAGTTAAGCATGCCACAGCAGGGGCACCTGGGTGGCTCAGTGGGTTAAAGCCTCTGCCTTCGGCTCAGGTCATGATCCCAGGGTCCTGGGATCGAGCCCCACATTGGGCTCTCTGCTCAGTGGGGAGCCTGCTTCCTCCTCTCTCTGCCTGCCTCTCTGCCTACTTGTGATCTCTCTGTCAAATAAATAAATTAATTAAATCTTAAAAAAAAAAAAAGCATGCCACAGGGGAAGAGCACACCTGGCTAGGAGAGAAGAGGAAGTCTTCGTGGGGAAGGTGGTACTTGAGATGGCCCTTAATGGATGGATGGGCAGAATAAAGTCAGAAGGATTCTAAGTGAAAGAGATAATCCAAGGAAAGACACGAAAGGGGGAGAGCGCTAGGCATGTAATGAGTAACAGAGTTCTTGCTAGAGTCTGGGAAACAAACAGCAGAATAACCAGAAATATATCTGAAAAAGTGAGACTAAACTGGAGAAAGGCTTGCCTAAGTGCTGCGAGGGTCCAGACGTGTGGTTCACTACTCAGCTAGCACAAGGAAGCTCCTCTTCCTCTCCCAGTGCCAACAAGACTTTACCATCCAAAACTAGAAAGTCTCCAAAATAAGGCGCTCTGTTTCAAAGGGAATTACTCAAGCAGCAGATACCAGGCATATACTGCTATGTAAAGAAACGCTTTCTACTGAGTTTCCAGAAAAAACTCAATCCCAGTGCAAATAAATTTAATCCAAAAGAGTTTATAATTTACATTTGGCTTTGGAGTTGTTTTTTTTCAGTGAGGAGCTTCCAAATCATATTTTTCTCAAGCCAAATTAAAGTAAGAAAACTCCTTAACTACCAACCAAAAGATCTTCAAAAGTGATCGCACAACTGAAGTTAAATTTCCTTGTCAACTTGATTAACTTTCATGGAATGTGACTTAATCTGAAATTACATGACCATATTTTCTTTTTCTTTCCCCCATAATACATAGCTGTGCTTTGGAAGAGAACACCCTTTTGCTGTTTTTTATAAAATTTTGAGTCGCATACTGTGAAACAATGAATAATCACTCTTATCATTACTTATACCTTTATATGAATAGATTTATGAAGATGTAAAAAGCTATATAAAATGTCTTGTGACTATTATACAATAAAAATCTAGGTCCATTTTCTTTACTTTTTTTTTTCTTTAAGATTTTTATTTATTTATTTGAGAGAAAAAGAGCACAAGCGGGAGAGCACAGAGCAAAACACAGAGGGCTGGATCCCAGGATCCTGGGACCATCACTTAAGCCAAAGCCAGATGCTTAACCGACTGAGCCACCCAGGTGCCCCCATAAGTCCATTTTCATGTCCTTAACTAATATTAATTTTTTTTCACCACCACCACCTCCCCCAGACTCTGAATATTACGTCTTTTAATGGTAAGGGGTAAGGCCATAGAATCATCAAAAGTTATATGGAAAATAATCTTAGCAATTATCCATCCTGACCTTCTCATTCAGTAGACAAAGAAACTGGAAGCTGGGAAAATTAAGGGACTTCCTTCTGGTACCTTGCTAACTAGGTAGGGCCGAGGTAAAGTGTAAAAGCTCTTTGGCACCTAGTACTAATGACACCACATTACCATACTGGACATTATTCTGATAACACATAACTCCAAGAAAAACTAAACATAACACACGAATCTATGTTTGTCCTTATAAAAAAAAAAGAGCGCAAAGTATTGCCTTTGTTTTGAAGAAAGCAGTTAATGAACTTATACTACCATCTCTTCCCCCAAAATTTTCAACCAGGGGCATCGGGGTGGCTCAGTCGGTTAAGTGTCTGCCTTCAACTCAGGTCGTGATCCCAAGGTCCGGGGATCGAGCCCCACATCGGGGTCCCTGCTCAGTGGGGAGTCTGGTTCTCCCTCTGCCTCTGCCCCTCTCCCCTGCTTATGCTCTCTCTCTCTCTCTCTAATAAATAAAAATCTTAAATGAAATTTTAAAATCTTAAAAAAAAATCTTCAACCACCCTGAAATATTGGAAAATATTAGTTTTTATATACTTATACCAGTTTAACGATGGAAAAAAAGAAAATACTAATGGATTATGAAGCCTTTCCACGGGATGAAAGCAGCCATTGCTGTGCTGCCTTCAGGGACCATGAGGGTGCCAGCCTGGTACAGCCTCATCATCTGAAACGAGAGCAAGTCAGAGCACGAACCTCAGCAGGCCCGGCTTTCTAGGGAGCCTGCTCATCACCAAACACAAAGCAATGAGGGAGCACAAGTGTAATTCAAACCATAATATTAAAAGAAATCAAGGGAAGACAAACCTAGAAAGCCTGGCCCACAGATCAATTCCAAAAGTCAACAGAGGTCTCTTAACCCAAAGATGTTCCCAAGACCACTACCAAGTCCATTATCAAACAGGACTACATTTTCCTATCGTACTGATATTCCTTCCGGAGTGCGGCAAGCACGTCACAGCCATAATTTTGCTGTGGATTTCAGCCCTGGGTAGCATTCCTTCAAACAGCCCAAAAGTGCACGACATGGTACGCATACACTGCTAGTTTAGGAAGAGTGCCTTTACCAAAATACCAGTCTGCTTTTTGTTTCTCCTTTAGAAAAAAGCAAAAGTTCAGTTTCTGAGACTTCACGTGCCACAGACCCGCCCCACTAACACCAGGGAGAACTGGAGCTAGACTCGCCACCCCTCGTGTCTTCATGTTCAACATCGTGAAGCAGAAATGAGGCTTTACTGTTGGGTGGGAAAGGATTTTCTGCAGTTAATGAAATCTGCTTCCAATCTGATAAAACCCACATTTGTGCCACTTCAGAATTTAATAAAAAACTCTTCAAAATGTGCTAATTTGTTGCTGAGCAAATGAAACCTTGAGTATAACAAGAAAACTACACCTAATTAGCCATGTAAGATCTTAAGCAATAAAGCCTCTAAAATAGCATGATTTCCTCAAAGCACAAGCAGTAAAAACTTCCTAAGAGCTTAATCGCATTTATCATGTGCAGCTAAAATTCATACGATGTGCAGATTTACAAACATTATTCTTGAAAAACGGTGTCTTACAGGTAAACAATTATTTGCATACATTTCACTGCATCAATCATGGCACTAAATGGAAAAAACATTTTAAATTACTTCCAGTATTTCACATTTAGCCAGCTCCACAGAGCCAGCAGTGGTGGCCAAGTGGACAGAATTTCTTATGACAAATTAGACAAACTCTGTCTACAACAAAGAACAGACAGAATCTGATTAGACTTACTTGCTACTCCTGATGCGAGCCCATAGAGCAGTCCTCCCCCATCTGACTGCTGTGGGAGCACATGTGCTCCAGGAGGGGGTGGCTTTTCTTGTCTGATAAAGTTATACAATAAGGTTTTCACAAGTTTGCTGGTATATGGAAGACTACACAAAAAGAAAAAAGAAGAAAATCAAACTCATGGTTATGGAAGTCCCCTGATTTTGTATAATATCATCTATATAATCTATTAATAGCAAAGGGATTAGCACAATTCAAAGAAATGTAGCACTGTCACTTAAGAGGGAAGGCTGTGGGCTCTGAGATCAGACTTGAGGCTTAATTTTGGCTTTCCTGTTTCTATGCCATAGCTGTTGGTCAAATCACTTCAACTCTTGAGCGCCGGTTACATTACTGGTAATCTGTGTAACAGGTGACAATATTATAAATTCAGTGTATTATATAGTACCTGGTACTTGAAGGGAGGTAGTAACACAGAATCAGTAGGGAAAAGCAAGAATTAAAAAGCAACAATATAGGGGCGCCTGGGTGGCTCAGTGGGTTAAAGCCTCTGCTTTCGGCTCAGGTCATGATCCCAGCAGGGTCCTGGGATCGAGCCCCGAGTCGGGCTCTCTGCCCTGCAGGGAGCCTGCTTCCTCCCCTCTCTCTGCCTGCCTCTCTGCCTACTTGTGATTTCTCTCTCTCTGTCAAATAAATAAAATCTTAAAAAAAAAAAAAAGCAACAATATAAAAGGCTACATATTTTAAGCATGAAATTATTCAACTTATGCATGCATATGAAATAAATATATATTTCTACTCTTTCAAGTAATGGAATGAGAGAAGGGAGAGAACGCAGGTGAAAAAGGTACGTGTCCACAAAGTAAAGTGATAAATCAATTCCAGCAATCTAGAGAAAACTCTGTAATAGACTCCTGAGCCAAAGTGCAGGCTCCTTCTCTATTACCAGTGATTTGCAAATATGTTGCAAACAGCCTTACAGGATTCTGTGACTGTATCACAGGTACAATCAAGGGAGCAAGAAGGTGCCACACAGATAACCCAGTCAGCAAGATGTGAAAAAGACGAAGCTCCTCCCACTCCCTGAGAACTTTAATTGAAGCTACTTTATTTGTAATTGTTTTGCATTCGCCAGTTCTGTGAAGAATGTGTCCACAGAAGACACGTGTGTGTGTGTGAGTGTTCACGTGTATGCATTTTATCTACCCCAGTCCCATTAGGAGACTGTAAGCTGCCACTCAAGAGCAGAGCTCCCCCGCCACGTGTGCTGGCACGTAGTTAGCGCACAGTAAGTACCGTGACTGCATACAAGTAGGAGCAGTCAGCTAAGAGGCTGCTGGACTAGTTCAGACACAGGGTGACCGCATGGAGATGTGGCAGTTTTGACAAGACTGGTGAAAAGGGGAAGATTTGAAATAATTTCAGTGGACAAGCAGGACTGGCTGAGCATGCAGACATAGAGAATGATGCAGAAAAAGGAGAAAGAGGGCTTCAAAGTTTCACTTCTAGAAAGAAAACACCAGAGACGTGAAAAGCCGTGGAGATGAAAGGGGCAGGGAGGACAGACAGCTGAAACAGGAAAGCAGAATTTGGTTCCTTGTGCCTTGGGTTTGGAGTGTGGACAGAATCACAGAAGGAAATGTCTGGCTGGACAGCTGGGACAACAGCAAGGTTAGAGGACAAGACCAGAAATAAAGATTTAGACACTAAGAAGTAGAAAAATGTAAAAGAGAAACGTACCATCGACCTTGCATCAAATACTTGTGGCTGATGCTCTGTCGCAAAACTTCCTTGTGGAAGAGTTGACAAGAAAGGAAAACCACCATTGTTGATACAGCTTCAACTGAGATTTCATACGTAATATCTCTGGGGAAATAGGAAACAAATAGAACAATGATACCATTGGAAATTAGGATTGCTCTTTTCTAAAGAAGCTATACATTTAAAAACACAACCTAAATATTCAACGTGTTTCTAGATTATAAAGAAATACTAATACATTTAACATAAAAATTAAGGGGTGCCTGGGTGGCTCAGACAGTTAAGCCTTTGGCTCAGGTCACAATCCCAGGGTCTTGGGATTGAGTCCCACATCAGCAGGTAATCTGCTTCTTCCTCTCCCTCTGCCTGCCACTCTGCCCATTTCTGCTATCTCTCTGTCAAATAAATAAAATCTTAAAACACACACACACACACACACACACATACACAAATTAAGTAAGCAAATATATGTAGCCCTTTCCCAGCCATTAGCTCTTGCACTTGGGTCAGGCATCCCATGACTTTCCTACTTTCCAGTTCCCATCCTCCGCTGAATAGCAAGTCTCTTGGTGTATAACGGAAAGCGTTACCAGCAGTGTTCAGCTTGAAGATTCACCCTAAAGCTCTATGTTCATCCTTGTTTAGTTATAATGCAGAACATATTCTGGAATATGCAGAGTGTCAAACTGAAGAGAAGTCCCCCAGTGCAGGAAAGAAAACGATGCCTTTTCGCGGCGATAATCACTTTACAATGAAAACAACGGTATATCCTAACAACCTCTACCTATACTGTCTGCTGCCTCAAGGCCAGCTCTGCACGGTCAGCAAAATGTGTACAGGGAACACATTATACCTGTTTTATTAAGCATGTTTCTCCCAAGATCATCAGCCCCCTTTCAGAAATAAATCTTAGATCAAATAAAAAGGAAACAAAGTTTTGGCTGAGCAGGAAGCACAAACAGGAATAAATGCCTCGAGAAATCTTTAGTTATTTCAAAAGTATAACATGATTTTCAGGGGGACGAGTAACAGATCAGGAAAGTGGAAATCTCAACCAACACAGCAAAAAGAGTAACAGCTCCAAAGGAATATAAAAATATTGTGACACAACTGAAATACTCATGGAAAGTCCCCCCCATCAAAAAACACTTAACACCTATTTAAATGAGGCTCATTAAGCAAATTAAACATGACTTGATTCTAGAACTGGGCAAGTTTAAATTCTGCAAATATTTTAAGGAATTATTGCTGATAGAAATCTCTTTTAAAAATCAAGTATATGAGGGCACCTGAGTGGCTCAGTGGGTTAAAGCCTCTGCCTTCAGCTCAGGTCATGATCCCAGGGTCCTGGGATTCAGCCTCGTATCTCGGGTTCTCTGCTCAGCAGGGAGCCTGCTTCCCTCTCTCTCTCTCTGCCTGCCTTTCTGCCTACTTGTGATCTCTGTCTGTCAAATAAATAAATAAAATCTTAAAAAAATAAAGTATTTGAAACAGAAGAGGTCCAGGCAATTGATATTATGTAATGAATAAATCTCAGTTCTACTCAGAAATCTCAGTCAAAAGTATTATAGAACAATTCCCTCTCCTGACAGTTTCATAAGTAGTGTTGGAAATATTAGCCACAAAAAACACAACTCTTATATTCGTTCTTACTCCTTGAACTGAATGAAAGACAAGTCTGACATGTCATGCTATGATTCATTAATTCTTCATAATGCTGATCTGACTGCTTAGAACCCGAAAGATTTTGCATCACAGTTATCATTTATTCATATAGCCCATGCCTGTCAGAAATCCACTCTCAATGTCAACTGGCTAGGCTTTTAGCTAGGTCAGGGCTTAAAGCCAAATCCTGAAGAGCAAAATATCTTGCTACAGGGTAGAGCCTACCTAGATAGGTGACCATCTCCAAGACATTTGATAATATATTCAGTTACTGCATCAATAATAAAGAATCACCTGCAGTGGTTTCTAATTTATAATTTAACATCTTTTTCTATGTCCCAAATCCAAATTCTGTAAAGCTATAGGAATGAAGGGTAGAGGGTTTCATGCTGGGAGGCAGGGAAAGCAGACAGCACATTAAGAATATTGTCTCAACAGGACATTTGCAGTTTCATATCAAGCTATAAACCCATTCCCAAAAATTCCTAAACAGAACTAAGTGGTCCCCCTTATGTGCTTCCGTAGGTCTACGGATAAAAGTTCTATTAAATTGTTTATTACATCGTACTCCACTTTGTAGGTCTTTCAACAAATATTTACAAAGACCTTATTCTTACTATGTCTAGACAGGCATTATGTCCCATATTAGAGACACATCCATCAACAAATAGATAAGGCTCCTGCCTTTTTGGAGCTTACAATTTAATGGAGAAAACAGAACTCAAGAAATAATTACACCCAAAAGGGTCGTAAAGAAAGAGAGCAAGTTACACCATGAAAGGATTATAGGGGATTCTGGTTGTAGAGCTCTTCTAAAAAAGTGACATTAAGTTAAGCCCTAAAGCATGACTGGCAAGCAGTTACATGCACATGAGTTTCTTTCCTTTTTTTTTTTTTTTTTTAAGATTTATTTGTTTGAGAGAGAACATGTGCACACGTGCAAGTGGGGCTCCTTCTTATGACCCATGAGATCCTGATCCGAGCCAAAATCATGACCTGAGCCAAAATCAAGAGTTGGACGCTTTACCAACTGAGCCACCAAGGTGTCCCAAGACAACTCTCTTTTACACTAGAACACACGAGATTCTAGCTAGGATCCTTCCATTTTTTAGTTATTTGTATTCCCAACTCTAGTACATAATAGACACTCAATAGATTAATGGACAGAGAGATCTTTTCTTTTTTGTGAATTTTTGAGAGAGAGAGAGGGAGAAAGAGAGAATCTTAAGCAGTCTCTATGCCCAGCATGGAGCCTCACACAGGGCTCAATCTCACAACCTTGAGATCATAACCTGAGCTGAAATCAAGAGTGGGACACTTAACTGACTGAGCTGCCCAGGTGTCCCAAGACCAAAGGATCTTTAATGCTCTGATTTTTATTGGAACTGACTGGGTCTTCCTGAATAGACTCATGAACATGGTGGACAAAGCATATATAATTTGGAATAGCAAAAAGGAAAAAATGTGTAAGTCCATGTAATACCTGATCATAATACAAAAGAAGAATGATTGCAAACATAAAGGGAATTTCGTGAAGGACCACGATGCTGCTGATTGACTGAGAGGGTATCTTTTATTCATTTTTCTGACCAGCATCATTTATCAGCAGTAAAACAAAAGACACATAGGATGATCTGAATAGAATGACTTAATGCCATGAAAATAATAATTCTACACAAATTAATCCTAAAGTTAAGTCAGGAACTTTTTTAGGAATGTCCTCAAGTGGCTCTAAACTTTTTATGGAAGAGTAAACAAGAGTAAACAAGGCCAAGAGTGAAGAGGGGCTTTCACCACCAGGTATCGAGCCATGCCACGCAGCTGTAACAATAAAAACAGCATGGTTATTTGCACACACACACACAAAACAGGCAAATGAATGAAACCCACCTAAGAACCAAACATATGGCTCACACCTGTGGTGCAGGTGTAGACAACACACAACAAAGACGGATCCACGAATCAATGAGGACAGAAGAGACTACACGGAGGATGGTGCTAAGAACAACTGGCTCCTTTACAAAGAAAACAGTGATGGGTCCCTATCTAACAACACACTCAAAGCTCCATTACAGATAGGTTAAAGACCTGGATGTGAATGGTAAAGCTAAAGTTAACACAGGAAAACATATGATGGTTAAGTTTGGGACATAAGCCACATGGAAGGACTTCTTAAAAGCCTGAGAGCACAAACCATAAAGCCCCAAAATGCACTTAATCACATTAAAATTAAGGATTATTGCTTAACAAATGAAACCTTGGACAAAGGTAACAAGCAGATGATAGATTAGAAGAATAAGAAACTCCTATCTGGAATGTTACAAACAACTCCTGCAAACGGCCAAGAGAAAAACAAGAACTCCACTAGGAAAAAAGGGCAAAGTATATTAACAGTTTAAAACACTGTGATACCCTTTTCTGCCCTGGAAAATATGAAGTATTGGTAGGCATATGGTGATATATAAACCCTCAAGTAGTGCTGATGGGAATACTAACCAGAGCAGTCATCCTCAGACAGCAACCTATGACCCAACATACATATATATGCCAAAGAGAAACTCGCAGAAACTGTTTGAGGACTGTGGTAGGCAAACTCTAAGGACCCCAATAAATCCTGCTTCCTGCCATTGATATGCCCTTGTGTATGGCCTCCCCTTGAGTGCAGCCTGAATCTAGTAACTCACTTCTAATAAACATAAAAGTGAAAGGATGCCACTACCATGTGGAGGTAAATTTACAAAATGACCATGGTTTGCGTTGGGCACCCTCTCTTGCCTTTCTTTTCCTATTCTTTATTTTCTCTCTGCGGTAAGCCAGCTACCTTGTTGTGAGTTGACATATGGAGAAGTCCACCCAACAAAGAACTAATAAAGGAAGCCTCCAGTCCACAGCTAAAAAAACTGAAGTCCGATTTCCCTCGAGTAACTGAATCCTGACAACAGCAAGTGGGAATCTAGAAAGCAGGCTCTCCCCCTCCTAGATGAGGCTTCAGATGAGACCACAGCCCCAGCAATGAGCTGTAAGCACGTCGAGAGATCTCGGAGTCACAGGCACCATGCCGGCTGCACCTGCACTCCTAACACTGGGCATGAACCCTACTTAAAAACAAACAAACAAACAAAACCCATGTACATATAACATTTAGTTGCACATATATATAAATAAACAATGCACTAAACTCATTTAAAATGGCTGTTTATAGGAAAGGACATCAAGGAATGGGAATAAACGGGAATAAGTGAATGGATTAACACCAAATGCTGGGAGCGATGGGCCTCACAGGAACCAGTGATGATAACGACCCTTGAAGCGAAGAATGTGATCGACTCAATCCTCTGCCTGACGTGTCCAAAATCAGGGACAGTGGAATGAAGGGGGCATCAGAAGTCGGACGTACAGAAGTGGGGAAATGCTTTAATTAATTCAAGAAACAGAGCGTG